TAAAATGTCAGGATTATATTGAATCTTTTAAAGACCAAACAGCTTCATCTTGCATTGCAGATACTTATCACAACTGTTGGACTATATCTAGTCACTTCCCACGAATCAGGTCTTATTTACTCTCAGATATAATTTGGGAATACTGCTATAGAACTAACAGAAGAAAGAGGACTTAAGAGCGATGTAACATAACATTTTACCAAAGTAAGGAAATTGTATTAACAAATATTTTAACCTCAAATGGTTCCAGTTTAAAGATACCTATAGACTGGATGGCAATGCAGTAATAAAAAAAATGACAGTACCAGCAGTTGGCATAAGGACTGTCACTGGACTCCCATGTAATTGACTGTGATTCTAGTCCTGGACCCGGTGGCTTAAAACTCACGCTGGGCGTGTGTGCGTGCGTGCCCAAGATCCTGAGAGAATGGAGGAGGAGCGATTGTGGTGTGGTCATCCCCCTGAGGGTATGATTTCTCGCTTTCTGTATCTCTGACTCTTTCTCTTTTTCTTTCTGGCGAGTGCATGCACCCTATAGCAAAAACCTCTCAAAAAAAAAAAAAAAAAAAAAAAAAAAAAGACACTCTGAGAGGTTGACCCATGTGGGAAAGTCCTGCATTTCTGTCCAGAGATGTTCCTAAGTCTAATGGGCACACACATACCCATGATCTGAGACTAGCTGAGTATGGGGGTGAATCAGCACTATGATCCTGCTGAGTGTGCCTCTCTTCACTCTTTCTCTCTCTTTTTCTCTATCTTTGTGTGTTTGTCTCCCTTACTTGTGGAATAAATAAATTAATTAATTAAGTTTAAAAGTCAGTTAATTTTTTAGCTATACTCATACATATTTTTAAAATTTATCCTGTTATTTTGGTGTAATGTTTATACTTCCCTTTACATGTTTGATAAACTATTAACACTTAGCAACTTGGTATTTGGGGAAAAGATAGTTTAGGAAATAAGAAGAAAGAAAGATAATATTGACATCAATCTGTTCATATTTGTTTTTAAATTGTTCTTAGTAGGAAATTAGACATGCAAATAAAATTATTCTAATAACTAAGCTTAGTATTTTCAAATTGTTCTCAACACTGAAGCTTTTTATCACACTTTCAAATTCTAAGTGAAATTTAAATTTTCTGACATTTAAAATACTTATTGTCTTTTGGAAATAATTTAATTCATGAGGATGTATATGGTATGTCATTTACTATGAAAAGTTAAGATTGACAATTGAAAGAAAAATGTTCCACTTTGGAAAGTTTAATGAGCTCAATACTATATGTCAAAGATAAAATTAAATTGTATTTGGAAAGATATTTTCCTTCTGAGCAATCCAGGTAATTCTTTCTTTATTTTTTTGAAAGGTTTTTGCTATAGGGCATGTGTGCGCGCTGGAAAGACAGAGAGAGACAGAGAGACAGAAAGCGAGAAATCACCCCTCAGGGGGGATGGCCATGCTGCAATCCCTTCTCCTCCATTCTCCTCTCGGGATCTTGGGCACGCACGCACACGCGCCCGGCGTGAGTTTTAAGCCACTGGGTCCGGGACGCGAACCGCAGTCAACTACATGGGAGTCTAGCGACATAGGCATTACGCTAACTGCTGGTCCCTCCAGGTAATTCTTAACTAAGTGTTTATTTATTTGGAGATTAACCAAAAAACTGTGTAGAGACTGGCCAAGAAGTTCTGTGGAGGCTACTAACTGCCATGTAAATCTATAGAGAAGTTACCTTCTTTTAGAAACTGACATTGAATATTGCAGCATCATTTAGGATAGTTCTTAAGTGAAAGATGTAGTAGTTTCTTTTTCTGCACAAAATAAAATGGCACAAAAATATTCACTGTTTACTTTTAATCACCTAAACAGTACTTATACAACCCATCAAAATCAGAATTAAAAGGAAAATGTAATCAACCATTAGATCATTTTCTTCTTGACTAGACAACACCAGTCATTTTAATACTTCTACATTTATAGAGATTTGGATTATGCATGCATATTTAAAAGCATTTGGGTATAGACTATTATCATAGGAAAATTATAATGCACCAAATTTCAGTCTGTTTTCACTTTCAAACAAATATTTGGCAATCTGTGAGTGTTATCTTCTATTTGAATATGTATAATTTGGGATATTTATAATTTACAAATGCAGATCCTAGTGTGGGTTTAACACAGTGTTGATACTAAAACTCTTAGAAATACTTAAGTATGATTATTTCATTTCTATAGTATAGTTTTGTCCTGGCTCATTACTGAAACTATCGATATATTATTTGTACAATTAGCTTACTATTTATACATGAACACTTTCATGACAGGAAAATTATTTTAACTGATGAGAATGCACAGAGTAAATTAAGTGTCTGTACCAATACCACATTATGGAATGAAAATGAAAAGTGAGCTCTCCCTAATTTTCATTCAGGCTCTGAATTTGTAAAGTAATTCAGCATGATATACAATACATTGTTTAGTACAAGTGCTACCATTTCAAAGGCATGGTCTCTTTTATGATGGCAGATGATTTTATAATACTATGTTCACTTACAAACTGAATACCACTGAATGACTTCTGTTGAAATCCTGTACCCATTAAACAAACACAATTTTTTTTTTTTTTTTTTAGAGATTTTTGCTATAGAGTGCATATGCTCGCTAGAGAGACAGAAAGCTAGAAACCACCCACCAGAGGGGATGGGCATGCCTCAATCCCTTCTCTCCTATTCTCCTCTTGGGATTTTGGGCACACACATGTGCCATGGGTATGTTTTAAGCAGCTGGGTCCAGGACTTGAACTACAGTTGACTACATGGAAGTCTAGCAACATAACTATTATGCCATCTACTGGTTCCAAACAAAAACATTTTTAACTCTTAATTTTTAGAGTGTATTACATATTTAGATAAAAACCCTCTGAGATAGATATGAGATTTGCAATATTTTTTTCCTTCTACTCAAAGAGCAAAAAATTTTAATTATGTTAAAGTTCACATTATCTATTATTTAATGCTAAATCATACTTTTGGTATTTTGTCTAAAAACTCTTTGCCTAATCTAAGGTCACTAAGATTTTTTTCCCTTTGTTTATTATTTTTTTCTAAACGTTTTATAATTTTAGGTTTGGGATCCACTATGAGTTAATTTCGGTATAAGGTAAAAGTATGTGTTGATATCATATCTTCTCTTTTATATGAATCACACATTGTTACAATACCATTTATAAAAAAGACTAGAGTGATAGCTTCTTATGGTGCAGAACCTAGGAAAAACAGATCTAAATCTTCATGAGGTAAAAATTATTTGCTAAAGTCTGAGTTTTGTTCAGCTTTGAATCCAAATCAATAAAATTTTATTTTTCTCAGAATGATTGGCACTAGCTAGAAATTCTCTAGCATGATTTTGGAAGAGTTATGATTTAAATAAAATTTTTTAAAAATCAAGCATGATGAAATATATATATTTCAATATTTTAACAAAGAAAAATGGAAAGAAATTAATATTTAAACATTTTGAAAAATGTTCTTTGTTGGACCAGCAGATGGTCTAATGGTTGTGTTGTGGGACTCCCACATGGTTGACAAGGTTCTGGTCCTGAACCCAGAGGCTTGAAACTCATGCTGTGTGTGTGTGTGTGTGTGTGTGTGTGTGTGTGTGTGTGTGAATGCCTAAAATCCCAAGGGGAGAATGAAGGAAAAGAGACTGTGGCATGCCCATCACCTCTGGGGAGTGATTTCTCACTTTTGCTTACAAACTAAAATTCAGTCATTCAATATGTGTATGCATATTGACCAATATGTGCATGCATATTGAACAAGAGCTTATCTAATTCATTTGAGGCTAAGAGAATATATTGTTCAATGGTTTTAAAATAAGCTACTTTGAGAAATATAATTTGAAGAGAACAAGTACTAAAGTTTACTTCCAGTATTGAATTGTTCAGAACATATTTTTATTCCTTATTCCACAAATACCTGTGGTACTAAAAATTTTCAAGGGTAAACAAGTTAAATCATACTAAGTAATAAGAAATGGGGGCCCTGGAAAGAGAATTACAAAAATATATTACACTCTGAATCAAATAGCACTAAGCTTTTATGAGGCTAAGATCAAGCAAAAATTTAAGAGGAAAAAAATACCTCCCTCTTTTGTTTTAGATGTTTCCATTTCCTTTCAATTTTGAGAGTAAAGAAAGATAGGTAGAAATTCAGACTCGTTATATGAGTCATTTGCAAGTTGTAAAAGTCTCATGATCACAGCAGACAAATGACAGCTCTTAAAGCCTGTCTCCTGGCATTTCATCACTTTCCCCAGAAGGACATAAATAACTGGAAGGGAACTGCTCTGAATATGTCATTCTCTTTCTTGAGATACCCTGATCCTTGTGAAACCCAGTCTATGTCCCAAAGAAAGAGTTGGTGGGAAAGGATGAAACCATAGAAAAGAGATGGCAGAGTGCCGAAGGCCCACCCTACTGGCTGTTTGGTGTTATATACCCTTCATATTTTATAGTAGCAATACAGAGCAACCTATTTTGTTATATAAAAGTCCACTTGTGGAATAAAAGTATTTTTTAGGGAAACCCAAAAATAAGGTATTTTACCTTTGTAATTTTAGCCTTACAGAATGGAGTTGCAAAAATAGTACAGTTCCTTTATGTAGTTTCCCTAATTTTTTTTTAAGAGATATTTTTGCTATAAGGTGCGTGTGCTTCCCAGACAGAGAGAGACAGAGAGATAGAAGGTGAGAAATCACCCCCCTCAGGGGGATAGCCATGCCACAATCCCTTCTCTTCCATTCTCCTCTTGGAATCTTGGGCATGCACACACAAGCACCTGGAGTAAGTTTTAAGCTGTCGAGTCCGGGACTCAAACTGTGGTCAACTACATGGGAGTACAGTGATTTAATCATTATGCCATCTGCTGATCCCATTTTTAACCTTTAAAAATAGGATTCCACATGCCATGATTCTTCTGCCTAAGTTTCCCAGTCTTACCAGACAGGGTCTTGCTATGGTGCCAAAACTAGCCTTGATTTCATGATCCTTTTGCCTCAGGCTTCCTGAGTAGCTAGGATTAAAGGTACATAACATTGCATCCAGACTTAGATTGGTCAAGGAACCAAATACAGACCTTCCATGTAGTTTCAGCCTGTGAAGCACAGCATCATAGCAGCATGCCACCACAGGCCCCTTAAAATGTTAATATTATGGTATGATTTTCAAAATCAGAAAACTAACATTGACACACAATACTATTATTTATCAATAGCCCAGTTTTGAATTTCATGAATTTTATCTCAAATGGCCTTGGATCCAAACTAGGATCCCATAATTCATTACTTGTCTACTGAGTTTCTGCCAAATCATAACAGTCCCCTCAGCCTCAGCCTTTCTTTTTTCCTTCAGGTTCTTGCTACTTTTTAATATCATCTTTTTTTCTTTTTTTAGAATGTCCCTCAATGTGGGTTTTTCAGATATTTTCTCATAATTAGATTGATATCTTTCATTATTTTAGAGAGAGATTATTTGCTGTAGAGCATGCGGACTTACCAGAGAGAGAGAAAGAGAGCCAGAAAGTGAGAAATTATCCCCCGGGGGAATGGTCACACTGCAATCCCCGCTCCTCCATCCTCCTCTTGGGATCTTGGGCATGCACGCACACGTGTCCAGTGTTAGTTTTAAGTCTCCGGGTTCAGGACTCCAACCGTGGTTGACTACTTGGGAGTCCAGCAATGTAACCATTATGCTATCTACTGCTCCCAGGTATCTTTAATTTTTAACAAGAATATCACAGAAAGGATGCATCAGTTGATGGTGTGTGATCTCAATATATCTCATTATTGGTTATGTTGACCTTGATCACTTGAGTAATGTGGTATCTGCCCGAATAATTCACAGTAAAGATACAGGGATGTGGGCCAGCTGGTGATTTGCTGGTTAAGGCAACTGGAATCCACATGAGTTTCCACGTGGCTTGAGTTTTAGATCTGGCGATGCTGGGAGCATGTGCACCAGGTGATCAAAATCCTGAAAGGAGAAGTGAAGGGGAAGGTACTGTAATGTGACCATCCCCATGGGGAGGCACATTCTCACATTCTTTTATTCTCTCTTCTCTCTCTTCCTCCCCCAGCAGGTGCATGCACCAACTAATGAATTTTAATTAATTAATTAATTAATTAAGCAAGTAAGTAATAAAATAGGGGTGCTTATTTGTTACTATCTAATATTTTTGGTTTCCCCACAATCCTTGTGCCTTAGTTGATTGTAATTATTTTTTTTGGAGGTGAACTATCTTCATGGTTCTGTAAATCAGAGATATAGAAAGTGATTCTCTTACACATCTAGGGCATTTAACACACAATTCATCATTTCTGAAACTGAGATTTCACATGCAATAGATGCTTAAAGTTAAGTCAGTGTTTCTGTAATATTAGATTGAAGAACTGACACAAGTAATGGTGTATCTTAAAAAGAAAGAGCATCTTAGAATGACAAGGGAACTCTCTGGAAGAATAAAAAAAGTCTCAAAATTGAAAAATTTATGCCTGTTTGGGTTACATTCAGAATTTATTTTTCACATAATCATAATTAAACTACATCTGATGTGGATCCTGCTGTGATGTCTGATTATTTGTACCAAATACTCTGGCTTTACTCTTTCTGGTTATTTCTGTGGAGCGAAATTACATAGCCCTGCCTTGCTAAATTGTGTGACTTAAGCGGTAAATATGAAAGAACTAGAAAATGAAGAGGTAAGAGTGACAGTGGAGGAAGAGTGGCTGAGGAAGAAACAGCCAATACAAAGTGACAGAGAAAAGCTAAAATCTGGCATACTTCAAAAAGTTCACAGAGCATGTCTGGAAGGTAGAGTTGATTAGGATTTGGGTTAGTAAGAGAAAGGAGTCTGAAGACTTAAGGTAAAACAGATTATGTAGGTTATTGTAAGTCATAGGAATTGAGTTTTTGTTCCAAGAGCAAATAACAGAGAGCCAATAAAACAGCAGAAAAAAGGCAGTATCTTATTTGAATTTTAGCAAGACCTTTGTAGCTTCAAAGTGAAGATTGGGTAGGTAGTCAAGCAGGAACTGAGGTAGATTTTGTAAGTGCTGTTCTCATGGCAATGGAGGTGATCTACAGAGTGGTGAAAATGTGACAGATTTCAGAAACATTTGGGAGGTGGAATTGCTGCTACTTTCTCATTAATTAGATATTGGATATAAGAGAGAAAAAAATGGCCAAGTTTTAGTTGATAAAAAGACAGAAAACAGGTGAAGAAGCGTATGTAGATATGGTAAGTTTCAGGAATTTGTGGAACTGATTATAACCAGTTCAAGTATTTGAGAAACAAACATAAACTCGAGTACAGTGTCTGTGTACAGTTAATTATGTTCTACAGTACAACACATACGCACGTTGTTTCAAAGATATTTAGATTTGTTCCTTACTTTCCATCCCTTTCATATGGAAAGCTATTGACTTTAAATTTACCAATATATGTATAGATGGCCATAAAACTAATGGGAGAGCATAAACTTATACAGAGAGAATGCGTGTACAAAGATGGTGACTCTGATTGAACCCTGGGAATGAACAGCTTTCAGGAAAGAGGAAGAACTCTGAAGATACATTTAGGAGAGTCAGCATGGTAGAAAACTAGGAAATGATTGGATCAGAAAAGCCAAGGCAAGAGAGTTTTCAAAAAGAGTATGATTGGTGGGACCAGCAGTTAGCGTAATGGCTATATCGCTGGACTCCTACATAGTCGACCACAGCTCCAGTCCCAGACCCAGCGGCTTAAATTCACGCCAGGCGTGTGTGCGTGCGTGCCCAAGATCCTGAGAGGAGAATGGAGGAGAAGGGATTGCGGCATGGCCATCCCTCCTGGGGGGTGATTTCTCTCTTTCTGTCTCTGTCTTTCTGGCGAGTGCAAGCACCCTATAGCAAAAACCTCTCCAAAAAAAAAAAGAGTATGATTGTGGGGGCCAGCAGTTAGCATAATGGCTATGTTGCTGGACTCCCATGTAATTGACCACGGTTCGAGTCCTGGACCCGGTGGCTTAAACTCACACTGGGCGTGTGTGCGTGCATGCCCAAGATCCTGAGAGGAGAATGGGGGAGAAGGGATTGCGGTGTGGCCATCCCCTCTGGGGGGTGATTTATCGCTTTCTTTCTCTCTGTCTCTCTCTGTCTGTCTGGCGAGCACATGCGCCCTATAGCTAAAACCTCTCCAAAAAAAAAGAAAGAGTATGATTGGGGCTGGCAGGTGGCATGGTGGTTGAGGTGCTGGACTCTCAGGTGACCAACTCTACTTCGAGTCCTGGACCTGGTGACTTGCTTTCTCACTTTCCTTCTCTTTCCCCTCTGCATCTCTCTCTCTCTGGATTAAAAATTAAAACAAATGGTTAAATTAAATTAAATTAATTCTTAAAAAAAGAATATGATCAATAGTGGAGGATTGTGAAAGAGGTGAAAAAGAAAGTTGAAGGGTAAATGACTCATTGTGGTTGCCTAAAACTTTGAGAATAACAGTTTTAGTGAAATGCTTGATAAGAAGCTAGTGTAAGAAAAGAGTATCAGATAAAGAATTAGAGAATGAGATCACGTAGAGCATTTGAAGAAATCTAGTCAGGAAAGAAAGGAGAGAAATGTGGGAACTACTAGAATTTGATATGCTATGTAAGAAAATCTTTACTTTTAGGAGGATGATTATCACATTAAAATGTTGGAAGGAGAGGACACAAAGAAGGAAAGGTGAGACTACATCAAATGTTGTCTTAGAATAAAAATGACTTCTGGACCAGCAGATGGCATAATGTTTACATCACTGAACTCCCATGTAGTCAACTGCAGTTTGAGTCCCAGACCTGGTTGTTTAAAACTCATGCAAGGTATCTGTGCTTGTATACCTAAAACCCCACGAGGGGAATGGAGAAGAAGGGGTTGAAGTGTTGTCATCCCCCTTAGGGGTCGAGGGTGATTTTTCACTTTCTGTCTTTCTGGCAAGCACATGTGCCCTCTAGCAAAAATCTCTCAGAAAAAGAAAAAAAAAAAAAAAGAAGAAGAAGAAAAACAACTTCAGGATTTGGTCTAGGAAAAAAAGAATGGAATATACTCTAATGTGAAAGAAGGAAAATAAACTTTTGTACCTTTATGTATTAGCAAGACCATTGGCATGGACCCAGGTTAATTTCTAGATTTGGTGGCAAGTAGCTAAAGGAATTATTGTGTCCTAGTTTCTACTATTTTGGTGAAGACAGAGGTAAAGTCATTGGCTCAGAATGAAAAGAAAGTTTTGAGAACAGTTACGCTCTATGTGGATGACTCACATTCAACCTCCATTTTGAATACTTATACTTCAGAGACTAAGATGATGGGAAGATATTAAAGCCAGAGATCTTGATATGATTTTTGTTTCACCAGTCACATGCACTTAGGTGAGATTGTGGCAAAGACAAGATCTGTTCATTCTGAGTTTCTGCTTGTAACTGGAGTTATGGGTTGATGATAGCATTGAGTTTTTCTGTATCAGTGTCAATGGAGATTCTATTGACAAGTTTCATGTTTGTCAAAGGAATAAATGTAGATTATTTTTTAATAATTGTTGATTGTGGCTTTGTTACTGTGATAATTTTTTGACCCCAGGATTTTAGTAGTGGATGTATTCTTGAAGCTAACTATTCCAGTAGCAGCTTCTTGCTTTCCAATCTCCTAACTCAGGCAAGAGTAGTAGCTTTCCTGATATGTCAAATCTGTGTTATAATTCTTCTTGTACAGCTTTTCAGTAGTAATCACATCAACATTTATTCTCAGTGATATCCCTTTCTGTGAGGTGGCCAGCACGGTTTCTGTTATAGTCACTGGACACCAAGTGGAGGATTATCTGTCAGCAAAAGCAGCTGCAGGTAGGGAACCTCTGGTCTGTCCAATTGACCTGTTTGTGTTTGAAGGCCGTGCATATCTAAGTCTATTACAGAATAGGACATAGAAACCAGTGGAAAATGAATTGAATTTTTTTATCTATAGTCACTTAAAATGAAGCACATGATTTGGAAGGGCTGAAGACCAGTAACAAAGAATATCAAGGCATAAAA